ACAACACCATGCCCCTAGTAAGCCTCTAGTTGACTGGCTCATTGATCAATAGATGGTTACGGTTTCCTGACCATGGACATTGGATGTCGTTGATGACGGGATCACATCATTAGGAGAATGATGTGATGGACAAGACCCAATCCTAAGCATAGCACAAGATCGTGTAGTTCGCATGCTAAAGCTTTTCTAATGTCAAGTATCATTTCCTTAGATCATGAGATTGTGCAACTCCCGGATACCATAGGAATACTTTGGGTGTGCCAAACGTCACAACGTAACTGGGTGGCTATAAAGGTACACTACAGGTATCTCCGAAAGTGTCTATTGGGTTGGCACGAATCGAGACTGGGATTTGTCACTCCGTGTAAACGGAGAGGTATCTCTGGGCCCACTCGGTAGGACAACATCATAATGTGCACAATGTGATCAAGGAGTTGATCACGGGATGATGTGTTACGGAACGAGTAAAGAGACTTGCCGGTAACGAGATTGAACAAGGTATCGGGATACCGACGATCGAATCTCGGGCAAGTATCGTACCGCTAGACAAAGGGAATTGTATACGGGATTGATCGAATCCTCGACATCGTGGGTCATCCAATGAGATCATCGTGGAACATGTGGGAACCAACATGGGTATCCAGATCCCGCTGTTGGTTATTGACCGGAGAACGTCTCGGTCATGTCTACATGGTTCCCGAACCCGTAGGGTCTACACACTTAAGGTTCGATGACGCTAGGGTTATAGGGAATAGATATACGTGGTTACTGAATGTTGTTCGGAGTCCCGGATGAGATCCCGGACGTCACAAGGAGTTCCGGAATGGTCCGAAGGTAAAGATTTATATATGGGAAGTCCTGTTTTGGTTGCCGGAAAAGTTTCGGGGTTTATTGGTAACGTACCGGGACCACCGGGAGGGTCCCGGGGGTCCACCAAGTGGGGCCACCGGCCCCGAAGGGCTGCATGGGCCAAGTGTGGGAGGGGACCAGCCCCAGGTGGGCTGGTGCGCCCCCCCACCAAGGCCCAAGGCTCAAGGGAGAGTGGAAGGGGGCAAACCCTAGGCTCAGATGGGCCTAAGGCCCACCTAGTGGTGCGCCCCCCTCTCTCCCCCCTTGGCCGCCTCCCCTAGATGGGATCTAGGCTGGCCGCCATCCCTAGGGGTGGAAACCTAGGTGGGGGCGCAGCCCCTCCCCTCCCCCTATATATACTTGAGGTTTGGGCTGCCCAATACACATGAGTTCCTCTCCTTCTTGGCGCAGCCCTACCCCTCTCCCTCCTCGTCTCTTGCGATGCTTGGCAAAGCCCTGCTGGAGTACCACGCTCCTCCACCACCACCATGCCGTTGTGCTGCTGCTGGATGGAGTCTTCCTCAACCTCTCCCTCTCTTCTTGCTGGATCAAGGCATGGGAGACGTCACCGGGTTGTACGTGTGTTGAACACGGAGGTGCCGTCCGTTCGGCACTAGGATCATTGGTGATTTGGATCACGGCGAGTACGACTCCATCAACCCCGTTCTCTTGAACGCTTCCGCGTAGCGATCTACAAGGGTATGTAGATGCACTCTCCTTCCCCTCGTTACTGGTTTCTTCATAGATAGATCTTGGTGACACGTAGGATTTTTTTTGAATTTTTGCTATGTTCCCCGCCAATAATAAATATTTATCATGATATAAGGAAATATAAATAACAACTTTATTATTGCATCTAGGGCATATTTTCTTCACTTTGGGCCTAAGGGAAGGCATTGTGGAGTAGCAATTAGATGACAAGTTGCTAGAGTGACAGAAGCTTAAACCCTAGTTTATGCACTATTCCGTAAAGGGCTGATTTGGATCCATATGTTTCATGCTATGATTAGATTTATCTTAATTCTTCTTTTGTAGTTGCGGATGCTTGCAAGAGTGGTTAATCATAAGTGTGAGACTTGTTTTAGTAAGAACAACACCCAAGCACCGGTCCACCCACATATCAAATTATCAAAGTAAAGAACGTGAATCAAATAAACATGATGAAAGTGACTAGATGAAATTATCGTGTGTCCTCAAGAGCGCTTTGGTTATTATAAGGGATCATTCCGGCCTGTCCTTTGCTACAAAGAGGATTGGACTACCTTGTTGCACCTTTGTTACCGTTACTATTTATTGCTTGTTACAAATTACCTTGCTATCAAACTACTTTACCGATAATTTCAGTGCTTGCAGAAAATACCTTGTTGAAAACCGCTTGTCATTTTCCTTCTGCTCCTCGTTGAGTTCGACACTCTTACTTATCGAAAGGACTATGATTTATCCTCTATACTTGTGGGTCATCAGATAGCTATATTGTTGAGTTTAATTATGATCCTACATGTAACTATCATGAGAGAGGCAAATATGGTTATAAAAACTTTCACGTTACTCAATTGCCTCTCTTGATGTTCAAATTGTTACTGTTTCGCCTTTCTTCGTTGCATATCCTTGTTTGCATATGCTAAATATTGCTTATTTTGATAATTTGTTTAAATATGAAATGCCCATGCACAGGGAGTGGTTAAACTTAAATGTGTTAGTTACATGCTATACGATGTTTTCTTTGTGCTACAATTCTTATCATTTATGCGAGCATCATTAAAATTCCAGCCTATCTTAATGGCTATAAAGAAAGAGCTTGTTAAGAGACAACCAATAGTTATCATTTTGTTTTAGTGTGTCTACATGATTATTGCTACCGTAGTAATTATGTTTATATCTTCTCTTTTAATTTTTGTGACAAGTAAAGCCTTTAGGGTGATTTGGATGCTTATTTATTTGGTTATGTGTAAAAATAGAAACTTTTGCATCCAGTATATGAATTTTCCATTATGTACTGAAACGTGATTAATTGCTGAATTTTTTAGACATACTGCTATGCAAATTGTCTATGTTGTCTAAAATTTTCAGATTTTTAGACTTACAGAAGCATGATAAAAAATTAGATCTTTACACGGTCTTCTGTTTTTATTGTATTGTTTGCTTATCCTCTATTATTAAATAGTTGCACGAGCTACCCATTTTTCCTCTTCATACAACTATGCCACATCATCAAGTCATGCATATGGTCATAATTTACCGTTTATGCACTAATCTACCCATGTAGCCATGCCATGTCAATAATCATGCACAATGTTTCACTAATATTTAATATTTGTGTGGTCATAGACGGTATATACATATACATTGGACACTTGGAGCGAATATAGCAAAATGGGTCCGAACGTATATTTTATCATATATTTCATAGGTTTTATCTATGCATATGTTTTATCAAGGTTCCCGCCGCAATTCACGGGGCATCATCTAGTTTTTAAAAAGTTCATCCCCAATACAAGCAATTCTTTTAACATGCATCCTTCCACCTCATCAAGCGCGCCATGTTAGCATCCGCTAGCAGTGTTTTCAGCCATGCACCATATCTACTAACTTTAATTCTTATTACAACATGCACTCTCCCACCTCACAAAAGCATGCATGCATGTCTGCCATCACATAATTATTCACGTAATTATCCGTGTTGTGCATCTTAGGCAAATTCTCTATATCTAAGGGAGTCTCCCAGTAACGTATTTATCTCAACATGCAACCAGGCCACCTTATCGTACAATTATGAACGGGCTAAGGCCCACCGCAACATGCAATCATGCATGCAAAAACCACGCTACAACATTCAATGATGGATAAGAAAATATTTTTCATTTTATTCTACTTATATTCAATAATATTTTATTATACATAATCAGATGTAATAAGTCATGTGTATTTTAAATTTAGGTTCGTATGTTATCAACGCTGCAGCAACGCAGAAAGCTAAAATACAAATAATAATGGTGTGTTAAGACTTCACATTCTTAATCATCTTTATCGGGTGAGTTATCTTTAAAATTATCAAAAGCAAATGACTCATTTTTTCCGCTGGGGTCATATGAATCTTGGTTAAGGATAAAATCATCAACAACTTGAATCTTTAAGATTATCAAAATCACACATTTAAGGTTTCTCATATTTGAAATTATCAATAACTTAAATCCATAGAGATTAGATTATAACATTGTTTTATTGCTCCTCAATTTAGTGTACATTGTATATATCATTGTGTTTCTAATATAATATCTTCAATAGTAACTTTCTACGGCCACGAATAGTGCGGTCACATACAAGTATATGGTTCCTATACTTATCTTTATTGTTTACGAATTTTATCTTATCACCTGCTTTATAGCTCATAACACACGCACATACGTGTTTAAGAGTAGAGATGGTAACTTGTCTTGGACGCGTCTTCGTCTACCGTTCACGAGTTCTATTTTATCATCCGCTTTACAACTCACAAACATGTATTGACGGTTCTAAGAGTAGAAATGGTAACGTGTCTTGGACGCGTTTCCGTTCATTATTCACGAGTTCTATCTTATCACCCGCTTTACAGCTCACAGACATACGTATACGGCTTTAAGAGTAGAAATGGTAACTTGTCTCGGACGCGTTTCCGTGCTTCAGGTGGTCTTCCGTTTCTTCGATATATTATTATATCATTTTTTGTATTTTAGCTTTCTATTTGATTTCTTTTACAATTATTATTTGTATTTCAACTTAATAAAACCCCAATCTTGAATTCTTAGGCAGCAAAACTAGCCCGAAGAGGGAATACAGACCAGAGAGAAACCACCCCAAAACCAGAACAAACCCTCCCTCCCTCGCCTTCCCAGGCCCCCTTCCCCTCCCCCTCCCCCTCCCCCTCCCCCCTCCGCCCTCTCCTCTTCGGCGGCAAATTCAAGCTCGGGAGCTCGCAACCGTGGTTAGCACCTCTCTACCCATATTCTCTGATAAGCTCCAGCCTTTAACCGGAACTCTCCGGGATTCCTGATATCTTCTCCTCGCGATTTTTCTGCGCCAAGATTGATTCGATCTTGCTCGCGCAGGGAGTACATATTTCTCTAGGGTTTTAGCGGGTCCGCGAAGGAGCGGACTTAGGCGGAGCCTTCCTGATGGCGGCCGCGAAGGCAGATGCAAAGGCGGAACCAACCGCCACAGGCGGCGGCGGCGGCGGCGGCGGCGGCTCGTTCACCGAGGAGAGGCTATCCGAGAAGCTCAATAAGCTCAGCAGCTCAGCGGCGAGCATCCAGAGTATCCTTTTTATTTATTCAGACGTCCTTATCGCACGCTCGCAAATTCAGCAGCATAGCTTGTGGTGTCTCCTTGTTGCAGTCTTGCTTGTTTTAGTATTATGGTGAATAGAACCCTAAACTGCAAGGTGGAAGAGGACAAAAAACTGTCCTACAAGATCCCGTGGTGTTCCATGCCTGCGCCATTTGATTGGTTAATTTGAACGGTCTTCTTTTCTCCATAAATGCTTAGTATTGTTTATTGGTGTGCACGAGTACAACTTTTTTTTTTGACGGAAAGCACGAGTACAACTCATAAGAATGCATATGGGTGTAGTTGTAAACTAACTAATATCTCTGTAGCTCCTGGATTATTATTTTGATCTCCCAGGCTTCTTATATGAGAAACTTAGTTCTATCTGTCGTATTTGAAATGTATATAAATGAGCCTGAGTACATGTTTCGGATATTCAATCAGTATCGGGGCGTATCAAGTACGTGTCGTACTTTTTTGTCTGAAGGAAAATTTGTGCGGTAATTTTGGTTTGTTGAGTACTTGTGTTTGTGCTGTCAATGCTCGCTTTCCTTCTATTTTAAATCCTGGGATAAAGATGTTTAGCACTGTTGACTTTGAATGATGGTCTCTACAAGAAATGACATGTGATGGCAGGAACTGTTAGGAGTCTAAATTGCAGTGCAGTAGCCCTCTCTAGGTTGCCTGGAGTTCTCGTTGCCTAGCTAGCAAATTAGTTTGCACAACTTTTAACGTCCCCGCTTCCTCTAACATGGGATTAGAGTTAGAATGTTGTTCAAAAAATCAAACTATTCCTTCTGGTTGCCAGTTGACCTACCCCACTCCACTTGGTTAGTTGCTTGAACAATCTTTATGGCATAATTATTTTGATGGTATGTATCTATTATGTCTCCAGGATTGCAGTAACATTTTTCTGCACTGATCCACTGAGGTTGCATTGGCAAAATATCTCAACTTTTTTAATGTTGTCGATCATATGCCCTTGACTTTGAGCCAGTTAATCAGTTGGCTGAACTGTATCTTACACCATCATTGGTTACACAATCACAACAGACAATTTATTGGAAAGGGTATATTTGGAGTTTGAGGAAGAAGAGAGCGTTCATCATGCAAATGCTTTCCCATGGACAAAAATGTGGATCATATGATTGTTTGCATATCTTTGTGCTTGTGTCTTCTGTAAATAAGTCTAAGGCACGTCATGCTATACATGCTATATGCTAATGTTATATCATTTTAAAAACTTAAAAGTTACTCTTTGTTTATCATTTCAAACATTTAATCAAGTCTTGTGAAGCTACAAAATACAAACTTTGGTGTGTTTCTTTGCAAACGACTCGAGTTTTTAAGCATAGTACTCCCTCCTTTTGTGGTCTCCAACCCTTCTAATTCTGCCAGTAGGTATTTAATATGCGAAAACGTTAATTATCAAAGTCAAACGGGATGACTGAGAGTGTGATATTAACATGTGGTTGGCCAGGTTACAGATATGGCAAAGAATTCTGTATTAACATGTGGAAGTATGAGTATGTGTCCCACTTTCTTATATGATGGTATACTCAACTTTGATTTACTTACATTCTGTGCTCTGATTATATTTTCGTATGACATGGATAAATTCCAGTTTTCTGGAGTATCGAATGTCAGCTTTAGTTAGTTGCTTTTCTTTATCCTATGCTATGCAATATATACTGCCGTAGCTTGTCTATTGTATTCCTTTATTCGTAAGCAGCACTTTCGAATTGGTGCATATTTCATCGAAAGAGAGCCAGAAGGGTTGTTGATACATGGCAGAGGCAGTTTAATAATGCAACAACCGATAAGAAAGTATCATTCCTGTATCTGTCAAATGACATCCTGCAAAACAGCAAACGCAAGGGAGGAGAATTTGTGAATGAGTTCTGGAGGGTTCTTCCTGGGTTACTGAAAGATTTCTACGAAAATGGGGGACAAGATGGAAAGAAAGTAGTGGCAAGATTAGTAAGTTGCTTCTATTTCATAGTTAAGAAAGTCCATTTGTTCTCTAGACTTTTCCAGGAATTCTGAGGGGGTGAAAATGTGGCGGTGCCATCATAATGCTACAGTTACCATCAACTTAGTTTTTTAGTGAACTATTAGGATGCATATCATGCTGTTGTATTTTATTTTGACTATTCATCTATTATCCTGATATTCACGCACTACAAGAGTGAAATTACCTTTTGTGGTGAATTTAAGAAATAAATTCATTATTGTGATTGCAAGGCCAAGATCCAAAAGAATTAACTTCTCAATTTTGTTGGGCTGTATCTGCAGATAGGGATTTGGGACGAGCGGAAGGTTTTTGGAACACGGAGTGAAAGTCTGAAGGACATTCTTGGTGACAATCCTCCTGCATTAAATAGCAACAGCACTACTTCAAATCCTACCTCCAAGCCCTCTTCAGTTTCGAAATCTTCTCAGAGGGATTCCAGTCCAATAATAAAAGTAAAGTGTCAATTCTTTTCCACTGACATCATTTTTGTTCCTCTTGTACTTATTATTGATTCAGTATATTGGGATGAATTTGGGAGTGATAGCTCTTGTTGTTGTTTGTCTTTCACTGTAGAAACTGACTGTTAGCGGGATGCCTGAAAAGATTATAACCGCATACCAATCTGTACTTGATCAATATTTTGACGAAGACACAGCTTTAAACAAATGTAAGATTACAGTGGGTGTTTTGGAGAAGATGAATAAAGATGTAGATGAGGCTTGTACTAATGGTAAGGATTTTGCTTGCTTCACTAAGTCCAAATGTTAGGGACAACTGCCTGCCATCGTGTAATGTTTAACTCGCTTTTTTTTTCTTGCGTTTGTTATCTTGATGTGTCTTGTGTCATGATTGTTACAGTACTATTTTACATCCAGTTCCATCACTATTTAAAGCTACTACATGCTACCCCACGCTGCTGCGGGAATTGAATATATTTCGATGAGATTGGAACATGAATATTTGGATTAATAATATGAGAACTAAAACTGAACATATATATGTTTTGTTGTATTTGAGTTTTTTGACTATCTATTTGACCTGTTATGGCGCTGCTAGAAGGAGGGCGCGGGAGGGCCGGCCGGGGGCCTTTTTGCCCATGGGCGGGCAAGAGGGAAGGGATTTCCTTCTTAATTCTTGCTTGATTAGATTGATACATCTCCTCTTTTTATATAGAGAGGTTTACTTGACTCCCAAGCAAGGCTTACTTGACCCCTAAGCAAGCGACTCTTATCTCTAATTAACCCTAAGACTAACGGGCCCATTAGGCCCATTACGTACTCTAACACTACACCCCACCTGGACATGCAGCTTGTCCTCAAGCTGCAGCCTAACCAACTTATAACCATGACTTGACGCAACCCAAACCTAACACCTAAAAACAAGCCTTTTACATCTCGGCTTGTTTTATTATTCTCAACCTGAATGGACTGGGACGCTTTATTTTGGACCCCTTAACAAAAAGTGGACACCATCCGCACGTCGGACATGCACGTGTACAGCCACCTGGATCCCATGGACACCATCTGGACAAAAGGAGTGCATGTGTAGGACCACCTGGAAGTGGTCGCAAGAGTGACCAGCAGAGGCGCCCTTGCGGCGCCCGGTGACGGAATGCAGTGGTGCTACGTGGTGCGCTGTTGTCGGTGACACCATGCCTTCTTCCTGCCGGACGACTGTTGGTCTGCACCGCACAGGGAAGAGTGGGGGGCTTGCGATGGAGAATGATGAGGAGGGGTGCGCCCCCCCAACCGCCAATGTCGCAGACTTGGAGGTCGCTGCCCGTGGGGAAAACATCATGCCCGCTGCCCGTGGGGGAAACCGCATGCCCAAGATCCCCGGAGCAGCGGATGAGATCAAGGTCCTTTGCGCAGCGAAGGGCAACTTGGAGGAGCGGCAGCTGCAGACCACGCATCTCCCGCACACGCCGACGCGCAGTAGCCTTCAGCCTCACCGCCGCCGACACGTGGCGGGTAGCGATCCAAGACGGAAGCGGTGACGGCGACGGCGGGGACTGGACTTGGTGGAGCGGGACTCCCGCCGGCACGGTCGATGCGGGGCCGGAGCTAACCGGCGGTGGCTGCTGCAGCGGCTGCGGCGGTGGCGCACCGGGCAGCGGCAGCGGCTGCTGCGGCGGAGCGCTGGGCGCGGCGGAGGCCGGCAGGAGCGGCGGCTGCCAGTGCAGCCAGGGCTGGGCGGTGGTGGCGATGGATGGCAGCTGCAGTGGCCCGGCGAGCGCGGCGAAGGCCGCCTGGTGCGGCGGCTGCCACGGCAACCACGGCGGCGCGGGGGCGGCGATGGGCGCTGGAGGCGCGGCAGGAGCCGGCCCCGGCCACTGCGGCCACTGCGGGGCGGCGGTGGGCGACAGCTGCAGCTGGGGCAGTAGCGTCCCAGCAAATGCCGCGGAGGCCCCTGGATGCGGCGAGTACCACGGCAGGGCCGGCAGCCCGGCGGTGGCGGTCAGCGGCAGGGGCGGCGGCGGCCCGTAGGGGCTGGCCAGGTACAGCCGGATCCCCTGGACGGCTGTGACGAGGTCGTTGAGGACCCCGGTGATCTCCTCCGGGGTGTAGACGGCGGACGGTGATGCGGTGGAGGGCGCCGACATCTGGGCGGTGGCGGCGTCGGAGGATGCGACCAACGGCGCGGACGGGGAGGGCAGCGGCGCGGTGTAGATGGCCAGCGGCGCGGTGGTGACGGTCGGCAGCGGAAGCGACGGGGTGGGAGGCGACGAAGACATGATCGGAACTGAGCTACCTGATACCAAATTGTTATGGCGCTGCTAGAAGGAGGGCGCGAGAGGGCCGGCCGGGGGCCTTTTTGCCCACGGCCGGGCAAGAGGGAAGGGATTTCCTTCTTAATTCTTGCTTGATTAGATTGATACATCTCCTCTTTTTATATAGAGAGGTTTACTTGACTCCCAAGCAAGGCTTACTTGACCCCTAAGCAAGCGACTCTTATCTCTAATTAACCCTAAGACTAACGGGCCCATTAGGCCCATTACGTACTCTAACATGACCCTTCCCCGGACCCCTGCGCAAGCGGGAGCTATGTGCATCGGGCTGCCCTTTTTTATATTTGATTATTGTATAGCGTAAAATATTTATTGAATATATGTAGTATAATAGTTTTCCCGTGCATGGTTGCATGTTGAGGTGCGTCTTTTGCTATGAATGGCTGCGTATTGAGGTTGGTCTTTTCCCATGCATGGTTGCATGTTGAGGTGCATCTTTTGCCATGAATGGCTGCGTGTTGAGGTTGGTCTTTTCCCATGCATGGTTGCATGCTGAGGTGGGTCTTTTGCCATGAATGGTTGCGTGTTGAGGTGGGTCTTTTCCATGCATGATTGCATGCTGAGGTGGGTCTTTTGCCATGAATGGTTGCGTGTTGAGGTGGGTCTTTTCCATGCATGATTGCATGTTGAGGTGGATGTTTTTTGCATGTCGAGTGAAATAGGTTAGTGGGGAACACATACTTCGTTACATACGATTTGGTGGGTGTTCTTGAGAAAAAATAATGGAAATGGAGAGGATTTGTATGTTGATGAATCGTTCATAATGCCGTGATCACGTGGGCACGTTAAATGAAAGAAATGATGATGGTTAATGTATTTGTATTCCTTTAATACACAACATCCACGTTCTTTTCATGTTATGCATCGAAATAGTGGCTCTTTGATGTCCATTTTGTCATAATTGTAGTTTGCATGCTAATATCAAAACCATATACTCCATCCGTTCCTAAATACAAGTCTTTTTAGAGATTTCAATATGAACTACATACGGATGTATATATACATATTTTACAATGTAGATTCACTCATTTTGCTCCGTATGTAGTCCGCATTGGAATATCTAAAAAGACCTATATTTGGGAATGGAGGGAGCACATATATTTTGCATGGTTTATAGAGTACAAGAATAGACTCGTATTAGTAATTTCCCTAGCCATGTTCTTGAGCTATTCACCTCTGATAATCTGGAACTTGAAATTACACTAGAATTCTGGGTCTCCAGAGTAAGAAAAAACTGGATTCAAAAAAATTCTGATGCTTTGACAGTACTCCCTCCGTAAAGAAATATAAGAGCGTTTAGGTCACTCTTTAGTGATCTATAAACGCTCTTATATTTCTTTACAGAGGGAGTATAATACAATGCGACATCATAATTTGTTTTCACTTCATCACTCGAGTATAAGTATCCAATAGGTAGTGCTAATGCTGGAGTAATTTTTTCCGTAGATATCCAGCAAGTGTCGTCGCTGATATCCAACCTTCAAGAACAGGAAGCAATCCTGAAGCAGTGCATTGAGCAACTTGAAAGTGTTGATGCGGCAAGGATAACCCTGATCAGTAACCTAAAAGAAGCCCTTAGTGAAGAGGTCCTTAGAACCTTTCTTATCATCTTTGAAATGTTCTATCCTGATTGTTTATGCATACCATCTAGCTTGCAAACAAAGCTTTATATTCTTTCTTTTTTGTATGTAATAGGAAAAAAAGTCGGAGCTTCTTCGCAATCAGTTGCAAGTAAGTAATATTCTCATACCCACTACATGGTATCATCCTTTTTCATCTGTCATGAACTCTTGATCTGGCCTGGGAGATCACATCTGCGGTCATTATTTTTTTCTGATGCCTTCTGCTCTTATTGCTCAACTAGAAGTGGAAGTTCACTAGGGAAATACATGATTGTGTTGTGCATTTTATTGGATTCATCAGCGTCCTCATTATGGTTCCTGTTTGCCTTGTGCCAGCCATATTTGTCCATCTTGCGATGATTTGGGCACCATTATAGAAACTTGATGCTTGTTAAGCGCCCCATGATATGCAGGCATAGCTAGAATTTTGCTGTGTCATTGACATTCTGTTGAAGTTTGCAGATTTTTGGATAAGTATTGAGTAGTGTAATAATTGTTAAAGAAAGAAAACAATATAAGAAGCACATGTATATGCAAAGAGAATCCTCTGGCATAGTTGTGTATGCAAGGAGAACCCTCTCTAAGAGCATCTCTAGCAGATCCCCTATCCTAAAAGTTCAAAACGCATCCCATTTCCTTATAATTTTTAGGGGATTAAAGTTTGATTCATCTAGCAGATCCCCTAAAACTTAATCCCCCATATTTATATTTGGCTCACACAATTCATCAAATGCCTACACTACATACGCACACACAGCTCTAGTATACCCTCGGATGCCTCTTTTTCTTGACAGTATCTGGTATCATGGATTTCGAGTCGCTCGACTAGTCACGACTAGTCGACGACTAGTCTATGAGTCGCAAAAATATGGTCGACTCAGCTTAGTGTCGACTCGCGACTCTGAGTCGCGACTAGTCACAACGCAGGCTCGACTTCTTCCGAGTCGCTGCCCCAAAGCGACTCGCATGAGTCGCGACTCAAAAACCATGTCTGGTATACCCTGATTGACAATCGAACTCTCCTGCAAATACTTCACATGCTCTGAAATACTTAGAGCCAGTTCGGATCTTCTCCAGCTTCACGGAATAGCTAGCTTCCCGAGAAGCCAGCTGCCGCCAGCTTCCGAAGGGAGAAAGATGCGTTCGGCAGCACCGAGGAGCTTCTCTCGGTCAGAATGGGCTGACAGCCCAGAAAGCAAGCCCAAGGCCCAGTTCGGTGGCTCATCACGAGAGGAAAACTGTACGAGGAGAAGAAAATGTTTTGCGGATGCCACTTCGGAACGGCATTCCAACGTAATTTAAAGCAACTTCCCCTTCTCGTTTACGCGAAGCTGCGCTTCGGCTGCTCCAGAAATTTGCACTGCGGGTCCCTCGTTCTCCAGAAGCGGGATTCTCGGAGCTGTCCCGTTCGGGTGGCTTCTCGCTGGCTGGATCGTGGAGGAGATCCGAACGGGGCCTTAGTACCATTGAACTGCACATTATGAACAAAATTCTCATTTGAGAAGTCACCTGCAACGCTTGCTTCTCAAATGTATGAACAGCAGCCACTATGTATTCAGTATCCAACTGCAACCCATTTGTCGCTTCAGCAACTTGCAGCTCATGCTGCTTGTGTGACAATGGCGCCACAATCCGGTTTGTCAGCTCTTGAGACGCATTGCAATGGCGCCGCAATGCGGAGCATCCCGAATCTACACTGCGGGCTCCTTCTCTGCAGGCTCATCCGTCATACACGAGGAGTCTGCCGACCAGGCCTCAATGCCGCTGTACGTAGCCTCCGCTTCAACATCACGCCCCTCGTCGTCCTCGACATCCTCGTCAACATTGGCGCTCTTCCGCTTCCTGGCGTAGTGCTCAAAGAAGGCCTTCCGTGCGATGGATCCGGGGCGTGACTGCCCCGCTGCCTCCTAGAGGTACCGGTTGTGTTCGAACGCTGACCGTCGGCCCCACGCGAGTGGCTTGGACAGGGACTGGGTCGTCGAGGAGCGCCTCGTAGGAGCTGTGCAGGCGTGCGTCTGCGGGGAGGCTGTTGTCGGCGGCGAAGAGGCGTGCATTGGCCTCAGAGCAGTGGCCACGGCGCAGGCTGGTGCAGCGAGCAGCATGATTTGTGGGAGCTTGCGCGTGATGAAGCCCATGATGGCGAAGCACACCAGACGCGGCGGCTCCTCTGTCTGTTCGATAAGTGCGGCGGCGCCGGAGCCAAATTCTCCGCCGTCGGCGGGATTCTGGTGTCAGCGAGGGTCGCTGGAGGGGGAGGGGTCCCATTTTCTCGGTCATCGGGGCGGCGGACAGCCGGCGGTGCGGGTTCCGGTGGGGGCGGTGTGGTCGGACGGGAGCCGAGTGTATCCCCTGTTTATCCTGAGAGTTGCCCTCGTTGGACTAAACATAGTCCAGAGGGTGGCCTTTTCAAGGGATGTTTCCTTATAATTATATAAGGAGTTATACGTTTAGGGGATCTGCTAGCTAGGGGTAAATTCTGTAAACGAAAATTCCCCCCCTCAAATATAGCTTTTAAGGGATCTGGTAGAGACCCTCTAATAGGGTAGGTAACAACTACTGAATCTGCTGTACGGTTCTGCTTTGCAATGGAAGCTAGTAAGCTAGCCATGGTCTGATTGGGAAGTGGGTAAATGTTGACTTACATGTTTTAACCTCCCACTTCAAGCACAAATCTGCCTCTTATGGCTTGCAAGCCCCCATTGCCGGGAGGCTTTTTCATTACAGCAAGCCACCTCCCGCTTAGACTGCTTAGGGTTACATGTTCTTATGAGTTGTGAAGCTAACCAGCTTAGACAGTTTGGGGGCTCTTTTGGGAGGGATATGTTTACATGTTCAGAACCCAAACAGGCTTTTTCAATACAGCAAGTCACCTCCCGCTTAGACTGCTTCAGGTTACATGTTCTTATGAGTTGTGAAGCTAACCAGCTTGCATTAGACAGTTCGGGGGCTCTCTTGGGAGGGATATGTTTACATGTTCAGAACCCAAACATGTAGGTTCTCTGCATATCTAGTATCCATTTCTGGTCACTTGTTACTGTAGTTCTTGTATGAGGTTACAATTAACTTTCTTTAACATTGCTATCTACCATCTCAGTTTGCACTATTTTTGTCTGTCTCTGTAGTGTCCGTTTTAGGAATTATTTAAGAAATTACTTAAGTGATTTGCAGCTAATCAGAGTTATTTGACACAGGTTGCTCGAGCAGAGGCTGAACATGCCGTGCAACTAAGACAACGATTTGGTGGTGCCCATGCCATTAATGGGGCATGGTCTAGTTCTAGTACGCTCATGACCACTATCCCGTCAGAGCAGACTGCTGCGATGATGCAGAATGCAGCAATAAGCCCAATAACTCCCCAGTTTCAACCACCACATCCAGCAATCCCGCTTTCCGCCACAGCCAGTGCTGCAGATGATGAGCCCAAGAAAACGGCAGCAGCTATGGCAGATAAACTTGCATCTTTGGCATCTCCGGAGCAGGTGCTCTCCTCCATTTTGGCCTCCCTTGCTGCAGAACAAGCTGCTTCCATGAATGGCGGCCCGCCTTCCGTAGAGCTCTCGGAAGGGCCTCCAGGCTTCCAGATACCAAAGAGGCCTAGAATCGAGAATCCTACGCAAACCGGTGATATGGGTGCTCCCCCTTTCTTTGGGCAATTGCTGCAGGCACAGCAGAATGGAGCAGCGCCTACTTCTCTTGGAGGCATGCAGTCATCGATGCAGGCAAATCAAGCACTGGGCGCATTTGCACCACTTCCCCCTCCACTGCCACCTATGCTGCCGCCACTTCTGCAGCAATTCAGTCAAAATGGTGGAGGAATGTTCGGAATGGGACCTTTTGGGATGCTGGCCAGCTCTATGCCACCTCCACTGCCGAACATGCTACCTCCAGGTTTTCCAAGACCAAGTGGGCCGCCACCTCCACCTCCTCTTTCACCAGCCCAGAATCAGAGTCAGACCCAGCAGCAGCAGCAATCTCCACAGGCACCGCAGCAATCCCCAACATCAACTGGTTTCTTTCCAACACCAGGCATTGGTTTCTTCCCTCCGGTTCAGATGCAGCAATCACCGTCGGTCCAGCGGCAATGATTACATAGCAACTGTCAGGCTAAAAAGGTGTCAGTTTGGGCCTAATTTTGTATATTAAGCAATAATTCCAGAGTGTTAGTTGGCAGGTCTGCAGGCAAGCAGGATCATCAATGCTTATGAGTCGGAAAGGTTTGTAGAATAGGTCGGTGGTTTGTGTGATGTATAACCGGTAACTTTTCCGTTTTGGTTGAGGAGGTTCATCATATGAAGTGGTTAAGAGTGGTTAAGACTCTTCTTCGTTGATCTGTGGCTCCTTAATTAGTCCTGAGTCAAACAAATGTTGCTGCTTGAAGAGCTGTGAACATTGGGCTCCTCAACTTGAGAACTTACCAGTGGCTTTGGAACACATGTTATAGACCTATAGTCTCATAGATCATGTTGTTTGTTTAATTTAAATCATTTAGACTAACATTTATTTACATTTATTTATTTATTCAAATATAGTGTTTCGTTTATTATGTTGTTTCTTGTGCAAGTTTGCTGTTTTTCCTTGGGTCGGTTCTTTCTGAGTGAGGGTCTGGATGTGCTGTCAATTCAGACTTCAGAGTAATTCAAATTGGCAAAAAGTGAAGCTGATTTAGAATAAGAGTGGTAATTCAAGGGAGGTTAAATCAACAAAATTGGAGACAAGGAAATCCATCAAAGCAGTTTCATTAACTGCAGAACTCATATCTAGTTAGTATCTATACACAAAAAATAGTCTATAGACAAAAAATTGTCTCCAACTACTACTCCTGTGAGTGCTAGGTAATTAAGAGAGGGAACCAAGAGGCTGCTCGCCTGCTAGCTAGCTGATGATCAACCAACTAATTATTCCTGGGATTTGCATTTGATCTCCCCACAGGCGGCAGCGGCTTCGCGCCGGCGTTGAACTCCACGCTCGGCTTCGCGTTAGCCGCCGCGGCCGTGTGACGGGCGCCATTGACGTCGAAGGAGTTGGTGGCCGTGGCGCTGCTTGGCTGCTGCTGCAGCAGCAGCCTCCTAGCGGCCGTGGGACGACGACGGCGACTCTGGGAGGATGGTTGTCGTTGTGCCGCGGCAGTGCGGCCGTCGTTGTCGAGAGGCGAGGCGGTCGTCGGCGGTGCTGCGGCCTTAGTCCCCGGGAGGAGGAGCTGGAGGACGAAGATGGTGGAGAGGAGGAGCGCGCTGCGCCGAGCCATCATGACTAGGAGGTGGAGTCTGGAGAGATCGGAGTGGCGTGCCTCTTTATGCGTTGGCACTCACACTCTCGCTAGCTACTTGGCGGGAAGGAACATGCAGAGAACATGCACGCGCTTCCCCCCTCTTCGTTTCTTTTCTTGGCCGTGGATGATTGGGATGGAGGAGTCATCAGGCAGGCATAGCATATCGG